ATAGCCACTCATTGTTTGTTCAATTTAGGGGGTTTGCAATTATGGAGCAGTTTGTATATTTCGGTTATTTTCAAACTTTAAAGGACCCCTGTGTAGGATTTAGTGGCATCTAGCGGCGAGGTTGCAGTTTGCAACTGAATGTCCGTTCTGGGCTACTGTAGAAACACGGCAGTCCAACATGGCGGACTCCGTGGAAGAGAACCCACTCCGTGGGTGTTTCTTAAAGTCAAGGAAGGATTCTTCAAAGGCATTGACTGTTCCAATGCCTTGCAATATGTACGTCCTACTGCCTACTAAATAAACAATTAAGTATGATCTACAAGCAGACTGTTCACATTAAAGTAGAGAGCCATGTTCATCCATGTGCAGAGAGCTCACTTCTCATACTCAGAAATTCTTGCCATTCTGGCTGTCAAAGTGACGTTCTCTGTTTTAGGTTTACGGGTTGGAGAGGTATGTCATAAAATAACTGTATGCTGATGATGTTCTGGTTCTCAGTTGCACGTGATTAAACATGAATGAAAACATAATTATGAATATTATATTCCATTTCTGCCACTAAATCCTATACACTGTTCATCCAAAAAACAATTTCTTCACAAAGCCATTGTGGTGCGATATGCTGATAGTTTGGGTTTCATCTGCAAAGGTTTTTAGACAATTAGTGCTCAGACTTTGGGGTTAGTAAAGATTCTTCTATCCTAGACAATATTAGTTATTTCTCTGCTTTTCCCACATTATACTCAACTCTCTATGTTGCGTCTAGGTTTTGCCTGAAGAATTGCCCACCAAATGACCTGGAATGTGCACTGAGCCCTTACGCCCTGGAGTACAAGCTGCTGTCTCTTCCCTTTGGCATTGCAGCCAACCAGGACCTCATCAGACTGGTGGCCTACACACAGGACGGAGTGATGCACCCCAGGACCACGTTCCTAGTGGTGGACGAGGACGTCACGTTACCGTTTGCCCTGCGAGACGAGAACCTAAAGGGAGTGCTGTTCACCAGGCGGGCGCTACGAGAGCCCCACACGTACCGCATGAAGGTCCGTTCCCTCTCCTACAGCGCAGACGGAGGCATTGAGTACCAGACTACCTTTATCGTCTATATCTCCGTCTCTGCCTACCCCTACTGAGAGCACTTTAAATGACACGAGACAACCGTGCCGAGATGAATTGCGTCCTAAATGAGTGAGTGGGTGTGGTTTTTGGAAAACCGGCCACATCAGTAAACAAACTGAAAAGACTTTGTGTTCAGTGTGAGAGAGGCCAGTGAGTGCATACAGCCCTGAAGACACAAGGAAGTAGATTTAAATTCGATACAATACAGGCCACTGGAGGTCAACAGGAGGCTTGGTTGAAACTGGCTATTCATTGGCTCTAATCCCTGGATTCCTCACGTGAATATGTCAGGACGTTTTCAGTGAAACAATTGATATTTTGTTATTTTCCCCCTTCCCCTTCAGATTTATTTATAAGATCAATAAGATTTTGCTCCTCAAAGCCAAAGCATCCACTGCAGGCTCAAAAAGTAGGCTTCATTCCTACTCAAGAAATTGTAGCTAGCCTCTTATTTACATCTACCTATTATTAACTTATTGGGAAGTGCTTGAACGAGAAAAATGGGCAGTTTTTGTTTAGCCCTTGCGTCATCAGTCACCAAAGTGGAGCAGTGACTGTTCAGATACGTTGCTTATTTTGGCTATAGAAAACTTGACTGTCACATATTGTACATCCTCAGGTAGCGGCCTAATATACACACACACGTGCATCAAAAACAAACCCTATCTAATTGTTACACTGATTACATCATCAATGTGCCATATACTGCTCCATCCAATAGTTGATACCGAGATGTATTTTATTTTTATGACTTGTACATATGTTTTTTTCTCATAATGTATTGCCATACTGTACGTATTGTATCAATTTTGTAATAAAAAATGAAATAAATGAATATTCACTGAAATCAAGCATAATGTTTGTCTGCAGCGCTACTTCATAAAACAGCCCTGATCCTTATTAAGCATTTCATACTTTAAAAAGTCTGAATTGATCAAGCTACTTCCAGTGTAACTCTCCAGTGATCACATCATTTATTTATTATTTATTTATGTATTCTCTGCAATAGAGAATCACAGACGAGGATTTATCTTTTGTCGGCCATAACAAAATTCTACTTGTAACTTTTAAGATTCAATTTTATTTGTTTGAATTTCTAATATCTCTCCAACAATGTTATATATTTATAATGTATCAATACGGATGAAATAATGCTAATATTAGCTGGAATTGAAACAAAAAGCAGGTAGACAATGTAAATCAAAGGCATCTTGAGGATAATTTAGTACAACAATTCAGTATATGAAGCTGTATAAGTGATTGCAAAAAAAGATAATATAAACATTATTCTTGATGTTTTCACTCCTGATAAATGAAAAGAAAAAAGGTGTAATATCCTGTCAAATCTTTAAGTTAAATGCAAAATAATGGGCTAAAACTACCCTGTTCTGAATGATCATTTTGCTTCAGTTAACGAATCGTTCATGACCAATGACATTAAGTAGTCTACTCTGAAACACATCCAAGAAGTTGTTTGTACAGCAGCCATTTAGGAACAGATCATTCTTAAATTTATATCTTTAACTTACACAGATTTCTGAAAGTATTCAGACACCATTACTTTTTTTCCCCAATTTGTTATATTTCCCCCCCTCATCAGTGTCACTCAATACTTTTATTAAACAGAAAGAAACCTGAAATATCACATTGACATGTATTTAGACCTTTAGCTCAGGTACCTTCCATTTCTCTTGATCATCTGTGAGATGTTTCTGCACCTTGATTGGATCCACCTGCGGTCAATTCAATTGATTGGACATGATTGGACACGAGGTTGAAGAAACCGCCTGCAGAGCTCTGAGACCAGCTTGTGTCGGGACACAGATCTGGGTGAGATCACAGTGGCCTCCATAATTATTAAATGTAAGAAATTATATTTAACATAAAGCTGCAACATTACAAGGGTGTCTCAAAACTTTCTAATTGTAGCTTTAAAAATATGTCACTGTTCGCAGTGACATAAACCCCGATTGTCTTTGTATTCAGCATACTTTGTTTAAAATAAGTCACAACAGTTGTTATCAGCAGTCACACCTTTATTAGTTTTGTCAAAAAAGCACAAACATAAAAAAGGGATATTGAGTAAGGCAGTTTGTACATCAGTTAGGGACACTCCCTCGACTATAGACGAGCATCTCCGACTAGAAATACATGAAGCAGAAGAAGAACTGGGGCCGTTCTTCTTTTTGTTTTCATGTAAAACTTTACTGCATTAGAAAAGGAATCGAATATCTGGATGAATCATCACTGATGACAGTATTCAAACATGAACACCCCATGTCTAAATATCAGCTTGAGTAGAACAGCTGTGATGTGCTTTCGAAAAAGCAACATCCATCCTGTGTTTGATTGGAAATGAGCACGAGCAAAACATTATGCTGGAACTGAATTCCTCTGATCGCTGCGTTTACACAATATTTTCAAAACAGCATATTTTTTTTTAACCACAACACACTTTGCTTGTATGTCCATTTATACTGTTTATAGCCATCACTCCACCGCTTTGCCTTAAACATTCTTCTCTAATACACAGGGGCCACAAATTCATCAATGTAAGCATGAAAGCAGAATAAATCATTTGGCAACAGACGTAATCTACCGGATAAGGCAGATAAAACTTTACATTTCCAGTTTTCCTCATATTATAAAATGTATGGAAATATAATACGACTTCCTACTGCCAGACGACACCGTGTGTGGAGGATCTGTGTAAATGAACAAGCATTAATTTAAACCCAGATTCAATACAAAAATCAATGTTTCCAGAAGAGACATGCAACATGTACAAAAGAAGTATGAAATGCTTGACATAATACTCAAAAGTGTGATCATGCAAACAAAACATATATTTTTTTAAATCGCACAAGAGAGACAAAATATCAATTATCTCATCTTCCCCTGCAAATCAAGCACACAAACCTTTTAAGCAATGGTTTTAATTTGGATCAGGTTGGGATTTGGCCCTGAGGCGAATAAAACAATAGAAAGACCAAGAGGAAAATATTTAATCCAGATTATTTTTCTGTTTTAAATACCTAAATAAATGCTGAGAAAGGATTCTCAGGGTGACGCGTCATTCCTGAAAGGACAGAAGCAAAGCCACATACTTCCCTGCACATGAGAGACTCGCACATGGGAGGGATGTGAAGAACAGTAAAATGGGATTAAGAAGAGTGGTGGTGGAGATGCATCGTGGGTAATAATCCTTAACTGGGGCAGCGTTAGAGGATGGGTGAAACCAACCCCCACACTCATCACGCTCTACAGGGTAAATGGTGACTGACTGACTGACTGACTGACTGACTGACTGCCCCCCCCCCCCCCCGTGAGCAAATCCCCCACCACTCCATCTGTGACTGTGCTTTTTAAGAGCCTCCCACTGCTTAAGTGTTAACAGTTGGAGGCAATGAGAGGATTTACTGACTCAATCGGGCTTTTATTCCATCAGGAAGTCTCTACTGATGACATCATACAAGATGGGAAACAAGTACTGTGATGTTGTTTTTTTCCTGAGAGAAGCAAACCCGGAACCCTCTGTTGTGTTTGTGTGGAAGTCAATGGAGGAATCATTGCTAAGAGAAAAAATAAATACATTTTGTGGAGCAGGAATATGTTTTCTGCATTCAATTGTGTTTTCTAAGATTTATCTCTAGTTTGGGAAACTCTGGTGTGTGGACCAAGCATGCAGTGTGTAGGACTGACATGGGGAGAACGGGGGGGGGGGGGGGGGGGGG